TTCTTGAGTTAAGGAGTTGAACTCATCTCTAGTGTTGCTGTAACTGTTGTTGTTTTGTTCCAAACAGACATCTGAACATTTTAGTTATTTACCTGGAGTTTGGTTATGTCCTTGCTATGAATCAGAACAATGGAATGGTGTGTCTAGAATGAGTGGGGTAAGGAGAGGCTATCAGAAGTAATGATTTAACGACTTCCACTTAGAGGCAAAACCTTTTACAACAGGTATTACTCATAATGAGCATTTGTATATTTGTGTACCCTTAGGTAGATTAGGTTTTAGGTCATTTGTAACAGTTTTTATCATCCATTTTGGCCTCACAATCAACAGATCTGCCATATCTATACCCTTACTTTTTCCAACTGACAGACTTATTTTGACTGCCTTTTGTCAACAGTTCCTGCTGTGATACTGTAGTCGTAATCAAGCAATCTGTTTGAAGGTCTGCTGGCAGGTGGTAGATTTTATAGGCATAAGAGATTGAAGGAGGGAGAACAAAACAGGTCTTAGTTTAGATGCATACGTGTTGTTTCTTTACTTAATTTACATATTTTGTTTTTCCCTTTCTTGTATCATCGAGTTAAACCCAGCCTGAACGAGTGGTAATTTAATTTAATGAGTATTTTTTGTGACCTCTGCTTTGCTTCTCTCTTGGTGTGTCAATATTGTTATTGCTGAGATCCTTTGGAAACACATAAACAGGGTATCCTTTATCATGTTTATATTGGTGTTACGTCGCTTATGTACAGACACATGTACATGTTAACATTTTGATGTCTTTCTCATCACATTCAATCTTTGTGTGCACAGTGATCACTCTGAAAACCACATCTTAGAAAAATACAGTGAATTATGTATTTGACACCAATTACTTTTTCCTCCAGTAATTTAATATTCCTAATATTAGGGGTGAGCTGATTGATCAGAGCTTTGCAGTGACTCCCCGATAGAGGAAATCACTTCTGTTTTATATTTGATCTCATTAGATTCAGCTGATCTATTTGCCCTAAAAGTTTATTTTAAATATTGTACTGTGTCTGAGACAAATTATAAAAACGGGTTATGCAATGATAAAACTGGAATGTGGTGCTTATGTTGTATAGTGATAATGGTAGCCATGTTGCAAACTTGCAAATTTGGTGTAAATTTTACTTAATATTTGATAAAGTGAGTACTATAAATGTTTATGGGCTTCCATTTATGAAAGCCTTTTCTAATAAGTTGCTAATTGTTAAACAAAGAAAAGCATTTTGGTCAATTAACCATAAGTCATTGTTCTGTAAGCCAATTTAGTCACTAGTTTACTTTAATATCTAAATAACAACAAAGCAAGGAAAAGGGTATTTTAAAAGTTTGTTCGCTTTAACATAAAGATTAACTCGATTACAAAGTCGAAAACTATTAGTAGTGCACTCAAAGGTTAAACCTTTTATTTTATGTCAGATTACACATAGGCAAAAGTAACGAATGTGGGTAGTCATATTTGTTGACTTTTTTGAAAAGGAAAAACCATATACATCTCAAAATGGACTTCAACTGCCTGTTCAAAGATGCTGTCAAGAGAAAGCAGAACTGGCATGAAAGGAAAGTGGTTTACCTACAGACGGTAAAATTTTGCTTTAATGAAACAAGAAAGAAGATTATTATAAGAGAGGGACAACACTTTTTGTTTTCTGGATGTCTACCATACTGTGTAAAATATCTATTGTAAAAAGTGTCTGGGGCATGCTTGACAAAAAAATCTAAACGCTTGGTTTAGTGTATCAACACTTATGTTTTAGAACTATTTTACCGTTCTAGAAATATTAAAACTGAAAGAGACATATGGATAGTTGGAATTTTATAGAAAATGCATTTTGACATTAGTAGCTCCATGGTGCAGTGTTAAATACTTTTGACTGACAGCAAGGGTTTGAATTGGGTTACTCAGGTTGGGTTGGCAACCCTGATTGTGAGTACGGATGATTGGCTGTCTATCACGGGGCTGACACAGATAATGTATCCAGGGTATACCCAGGAGCTCACCAATGTGTGTAGGGATAAACTCAGCCCTTCGCGACTCTGAAAAGGATAAGTGGGTACTGATGAATGGATACAATTTGAATTTGTGTAGCTTTACCTGGTTCAAGAACTGACTAGATAAAATCACTCTTGCTGTCGCATGGGGAGGAGGTTGCAGGAAGTGTCATGAGCCATGGGAGACTTGCGAATTGCATCCTACTGGTGTGAGGCTTTGGCATGCACCAAGCAGTGTTTGTCTGTCTTGAACTGTGAGTTGTTAGAAAAACACACCAGGAGAGGAGGAGGGGTGTGGAGGAAGGTGTAGCTAGTACCACCTTTTTTTTAATGAATAAGTCATCAGTTTGCATGCAGAAAGGGTTTTGTCACCTGCCCTGTCAGAAAAAGGATAGCAATGGAAACTAGCTCATCTTGACTTTAATTGATTAGCATCCTACTGTCTGTTTAAATTATATCGATTAGTAAGTCATACAGTCATGGAGAGTTACTCAGAGTGTTGTTGGTTTTTGTGGGTCAAGCCCAGACCAAAGTCATAGTTGCACTGGGGAACAATGTTGGCCTCTGGGAAACCCTGCAAATTACCGGACCAAAATAACCCTTGTTTTCAGTTTTGTTACTATATTTTAATTTCATTAACATTTAGAAAATGACTAAGTTTCCTGATTGATACAAAATGGAGATCTACGCAGTTGCACCCAAGTGGGGCCAAAGCCTTATGGCGACTGGTCTCAGGTGTATGTCACCTGCATTTCTCATTTCTGCCACTTCAGCTCTGAGCAGAAACGTCACGTCAACAGATCCAGAGGACAGATATATAGACAGATAGCTGGTCTGGCCAGTTTTCCACGGTGGCAGGATCTTACAGTAGCCTCTCTAGCAAAACTCTCATGTTACTGGTGTCTCATTTCACTAGCTCAGGGCAGTGGGCGAAACTCACCGTCCTTGTGTAAGTGCCCTCTCTCTCCTTTGTCTGCGTTGTCTATTGCTTAATAGTGTTTTACCAATCTGTCCATCTATCACTATTTCTGTCTTTCTGCCGCTTTTCCTCCTTTTTAATCATAATGACTCATCCCAGTTTTCTCCAAATGCTCTCTGTTGATGTTCCTCACCATACCTTGTCGAACATAATCCTAACGTAGCTAATGAGGTGGTAATGTGTGGGACACAAATCCTAAAGGGGGTCCTTTGATCTTTAGAATGTCAGCAAAGCCCCTAGTAATGAGGTGACTCTGTCATTGTAGAATGTACGATGACTGGATACCAGCATAGTTTTGAATACATTTTCATTCCTATTTTTTTTTAAGATCCTTGGTGTAAAATTTAGGAGGATCTCTTAGCAGAAATTGAATATAATATTCATAGGTATTCAATTCTAAATCTCCTTTTTTTGTACAATTAGCAGTCAGCGTTTCACTATCAGTAATGTTTTCGTTGTCATCTCTTTCACCATAACTCACTAAACCCCCAATTTCTTTCTGTGGAAGGAAATTTTTTAGGTAGGATAAAAAAAAATGAAATTATATTTACAAAAATCTTTGGAACTAAAGGAATTAGATTAATGTGTTGTTGTTTTTTTGGTTTAGGGGGAGACTGCCAAATATACTACACATAATGAATAAATGCAGGTCAGCTGTGTGGAACAGGTGACTAATACAGGTGCTTCATGGAATCTTGAAAATTCTCTGAGGGCTTCTAGTGGGCAGGTGTGGCATGACAGAGTTTAAAAGGCCAGCACAATGTGAGAACCCATAAACACACAGACTAGTACTAGGGAGAATCAGAGACAGAAGTAGGAGAGAGAGATGTGGGGCATGCAACACATGACAGGGTGCCGGGTTTGTTGACAAGACACAAACAAACAGTGCTGCGCAAAATGTACGTCAGCTGCACGTCAGTCCAAAAACAGCTGACAGCTGAGGGGTCACAGCCTTTAAGGGCAAGACAATAACCAAACTGAAGCTTTTTTTCCCAGTATGTGTAAAATACAAGTTAAACAGCTACTCAGCTAATGCTCATTTCTATTTAATTTTATCATGTCATCTCTGTCTAATCTACTTAACCACTCTGCATTTTTTCCCCAGCTTGGAGGTCTGGTATATTGTGATGAGAAACAAGAGACAATAACTGACAACAGCCAACCAGTGTAGTCGCTTGCCAGCTAGAAAGCTTGCATAAGTTGATAGTACTGAAATATTTTGGTAACATTACTTACAACAGTGGTTCCCAACCTGGGGGTCGGGACCCCAACTAGGGTCACCAAAGCTTCACGGGGGGTCGCAAGGCCTTCTTGATTTAAATAGGTGTAAGACAACTTTAAAAAAAATAGAGACAGTTGGCCTATATCTCACAGGATAAAGGCATGGTGAAGACTGGAACACAAACTATAGCCTAATAGAACACTGGCCAAGCACCAGGGAGAAGACGAAGAAAACCCTGAATTTGTCAGAAAAGAAGCCTATTAAAAAATAATGCACAGTGGGCCGGATATCTCACCTGGTAGAACTGGCTCCCCATGTACCAAGGCTGAGTCCTTGTTGCAGCAGCCATGGGTTCGACTCTGACCTCTGGCCCTCTTGCTGCGTGTCATCCCCTCTCTCTCTCTCTCTCTCCCCCATTTCCTTTCTTTCTTCAGCTGTCACAATTAAAGTCAATAAAAGAAAAAAAAAAGAAAGAAAAAAGTAAATAATGCATAATACAGACAGGATTGTAATAAAAAAGTTCCTAAAAATATCAGGAAAACTCATCTCTGATGGAATATTCACAGGAAATAATCTGCTCAAAATTGAACAGATTAAGTTTTTCCATGTAAGTACAACCAAAGATGTCACATCAGAGAGAGATTTTCTTCTTCTTAACTCTCTATGTGTATGACATTAAAAAAAAGTCTTTGGACCTACAAAATGAAAAAAAAGACTTTAGGCTTAAAGGCTTTAGTTTGAAGGATACCTACAAAATGACCCTTTTCTCTTATGTTTCCACAGACATGTCAGTCCAAGGTGTTTGATCTATCAGATGGAGTATCCCAGTATGCATGGTTCCCATGTCGTGAGGCCCATGTGGCAGCTTGGGGATATCCTAACTATTTTCTCAAGGTAAGACCTATCTGAAAAGGCTGATGCATAAAAATAATGTCTTCACAGGACTAAAATAGATTACTGAGAAAAAAAAATGCATTGATGTCAGTGTTTCTATACCTAATTAACCTACTGTTATTGTTTTTGTTTTACAGTAACTGTTTGAAACATGCTGATATTAATCTGGAGTTTTATTGCTTTGTTGAGTGGTTTACATGATTAATGACCTTCTAGTTTTCTAGTCAGGATGATTTATTCTATAGGACGCCTGATTTTACTGGAAATTCATAGTTAGTTGTTTTAAAAGGAATGCCCAACGATAATAACGTACAAGAAATTGCCAGTGCCAGTATAATGAGATAATTAATGAGGCTAGATAGTGTTGTTGAGTTCCCTGCCCTCGGTCCATTCCATTCTGGTACACCATGTAGTGCATTATAACACAATCACTGTGGTGACTGAGAGAGTACAACACTCTGCAACGTAGAAACTCAAGCAAATGCAGAAGTGTTAGCACATATGATGTATGAAACCTGATTCAAATGAGGAACACATTCAGTTCTGACAGTTCCAAGAGAGAGTCACATGGGCCTCACAAGTAGATTCCAGTTACTGAAAATGTGTACTTGTCTTCATACTCTTTGTTTTCCTGTATTCAGGCCCACTTCTCTCATCCAATGGTGGCAGCAGCAGTGATTATACATCTTGCTGCTGATGGGACTACCTACATTGACCAGACTCAGTGTAACATCACTGTTCAGCTGGTGGACACCAAGGAGGGCATCCATAGTCTAGGTGAGAACTATCTCAGAGTACTTTTAAATTGCTCACTTGATTTAACCTTGACTGCTGAATATGGAAAAGCTGAGCTCAAACTAACTTTACCTACAGTAACTAACTGCCATGTTTCTACAGTAGCCCAGAATGGACAAACCAAACACTGGCTCTAGATAGGGCCTTTCGTGTTTTTTACAAGTTGCGCGGCCACCGTAGTTTACCCTACATGCTTGGAAGGCGAGCAATATTTACTTGGTTGCGGTTTGCAACTTCATTGCTAGATGCTACTAAATCTTACACACTGGTCCTTTAAACGCATGTCACTCTCATCCGTCTGTGCATTACTCTTTGAACACCAGAAAGCTATTTGGCCCTTTAGGTTTTTTGCTCTCCTAATTCACTGTCAAGGCTTGATTAACATCTGCCACTCTGTTTCCTTTCCTGTTCTCTGTTTCTGTTGCTTACTTTCCTCACCCTAATCTAAATACATGTCTCTTCTCCATCCCCATTACCCTCTCCACAGGTGAGTGGCGTCTCAGCTGTCGCACCAACCCTTTGGTGATCCCAGTGAGCCACGACCTGTCAGTGGCGTTTTACCACACAAAGGCTATCCTGGTCATGTTTGCCTCGCGCCTTGTGGCCATCTCTGGCGTAGGCCTGCGCTCCTTCCAGTCCTTCGACCCCATCACGATAAGTGGTTGCCAGAGCAATGAGATCTACAACCCCACAGGCCAGAGGTGAGGCCGACAAATAGGGGAAATGAAAGATTGGTGAACATGAGGCCTACATATGTTACACACACAGACATGCATATGAAATCTGAAAAAGATTATGTGCAAGAATGCAGCCACACACACGCAACAATCTTTCACCTTTAAAACTACAAGAAACTTGATTGAGAATCACGTTTTTCCAAGTCTCTAAATAGGTATACATGTGATAAGATAAGATAAGATATTCCTTTATTTGTCCCACAATGGGGAAATTCCAGTGTTACAGCAGCAAAGTGGATATAGAAAAAAAACAGTATAAAAACAGTAAGAGTAGGAAATAATAAATGAAAACACTGTACAAGAGAAAAAACAGTAAGAAATCCACAACAACAGATAACGCAAATAGTAGTAGCAGCAGCAGTTACACATGGGCAATAGAATGTGATGTGTAGTCAAAAACCATAGTTTATTCTGACTATTCCCACGAAAAGAGAAAGGAGAACCATGTGTTAATGATGCCAACAAGTTGTTTAATGTTATATATATATATATGGTGGTAAAACGAACATTCTATGTAACAAATATAATATTACTGAAAATGTTCAATTAATTTGGACCTGTTGCTAAGTTCCACAAATTTCCAACAATAGAGCCGCCGCTCCCTCCAGCACTAAATCTTGTTTACCACCCCAGTTTGTTTTGTATTGAGTTCGGTTGAAGTGCACGCTGCACACAAACATTCTTTTTCTTTCCAAAGTCCTGCCAAAGTGGACATGTTTTGCACTCCACAGAAGTTATTTTCTTAATTAAATAAATGACTTGTCCGTCATCGTAACAGCTGCAAACCCAGCATCTGCTCCAGGAAATAAAGATCAAATTTGAGTAAAAAGCCCTTAGCCCATAGCAGTTATTGAAGACATTTCTTAGAGCTGTTGGCAAGCCCGCTTAAAAATAATTAACACCTACTTAGCTGCAAACTCGCAATTTTTGAGTCTCCAGTAACTTTTAATTTTAACTTCTAACCATATGATGTCAAGTCTCTCCTCACAAATATAGCTAAACCAGACCACACATGCACAAGGACTCACAATTTACCAATTTCCACACCACTGTCATGCATGAGACAATTCATACTGCTGATGCTCCCACAACCCTTTCAACAAGAAATGCACTAATAAACACCACAATACACAAAGAATGGATGGTTGGGGGGTCTGTGCAGAGAGATAGAGCTGTTTGTGGCTTTTGTTGTGTGCCAGTGAGACATCCAAGAACACCTAAATAGATTAAAACTGCTGTGTATCTGCATCAGCCAGGAAATTGTTTGTTACCGCACACACAGACTAGTTGCTTTCTCCCAGAGTTCTCACTGACTTTCATTTCTTTCAGATTCTCTCCACATCATCTAATTTCCAATGGCTAAACTAATGTTTTTTATGATGGCGAGTCCACCAGACCAGTTTTGACTTGGAACATGCCACAAGCTGAATATTATAATATAGTAGTATGATCACTTATTATTTACCGATCTGTCCTTACAACATCAGTCGAGAATCCTGGCTCGGCCTCTTTGTCTTTTTATGTCATTGATCTGTTTCCTCTCTTTAATCGACTTCAATTCATCTTCTGCGTTCTGTCGTCTATAACAAACTTTCCAAATTTCTGGTCCCTCTTCTCCATTTTTATCTCCGTGTTTTCACTTTCTTATTCTCATTCCCTTTCCCTGCTTTTCCGCATCTCCCCTCCTCCTCCTCCCCTTCATCATGTTATCCCATGCTGTCTTCTCATCCTTCACTTTCACGTCATCCTCCTCTCCCTCTGTTTGCCATCTCCTTTCTCCTTAATTCTCCCCTTTCTGTGCCTCCTGCTCCCGCTTTCACTCTCTCATTCTCCTGGGCTGAGCAGCACATTTCCCGTAATACTTATGCCTCCACGAAACACCACATCCCCTTTTCCCTGAGTTGTTAACAACAGGAGCTATTAACATGAGTCAGTTTTATGTCCCATGCTTGTCTGCAAATGCATGCACATGTATGTTTTCCTCTTTCTCTCACTTTTTCACACCCTTTTTGTTCTCACTTTAATGTTTTTTCTCAATTTCTATGCTCATCACCCCTTTTTTTGTTCTGTTCTTCTTTTTGTCCTACAGACTATTCTATGGTAGTGTATACTGAACTATAGTTTTCCAGGTAGTTAATTGTAATTTATGTCAGAAATTCCAGAGTGACTAGCAGAAAACCACAAAGAGATTTTGTTCCAAGCCAAAGTGTCCACAGTGGAGGCTTCTAGGCTTCAAGGCTTCTCTAGTTTGTCCTCAAAAAGCCTAGACGTAAGGGACAGCTGCTCTTGTGCTTTATGAACACTTGTCACCTGCTCAGCTTAGCATCTTGGCAAAACAAGACTTTTAATTATAAGCTTAGAATTTTACTAAGAGTTTATTTGGTTATACTTTTACTTGTGCTCTGTTGGGAGGGAGAGTGAGGAAGGACACAAGGAATAGGGGGATCAAAGGTTTGGATAATTAAAAATAGAGAGAAAAAGCATAGAAAAGTGAAAGCTTATGTCTGCAACAGAAGCAGGAAAACAAACGGATGAAAAGAGAAAAATAGAGATTCCATTCTCACAGGAGCAAGTTTAACAATGTTCCTCCAGACCTGTATTTTCTTACATCCTCTCTCTCCCTGTGCCCCCATACCTTCCCCTGTTTCTTTCTCTCTCCCTCCCTCTTTCTCTGTCGGCTTCATAAGGGAACCCTATACTGTCGAATGTGGACTGTTGTAAAAAGGTGCCTTGGGCATCTAAGCATTCCAAGACCATTAAATGCCTTCTCCATCAGGCTACCAACATAGAGCTGTGACCAAACTCTACCATTGTAGCCTGCACATAATATATATCCTGTCGCTCTTAATTCACAAAGTACACTCTGCTGTGTGTGTGTGTGTGTGTGTGTGTGTGTGTGTGCACACAGACACCCCTTTCATGTGCATAGCAAATATGGCAATCTTTTCTCCATGTGGTTTATTGATTTGATATGTTAAGCAGTCATTGATGGATGGATGTGGTTGACTCAATGCGTAGCTTTTCTGTGAGCAAATGTGTGACGGTTTCCATGTTAGAGTGTCTGCAGTGTTATTTTATACACAAAATTTATGTTGGTTGTAACTTTAAATGTGATTTTTAGTTTCTTTCTCCTTCTCTCTCTCTCTCTCTCTCTCTCTCTCTCTCTCTCTCTCTCTCTCTCCCCCTCTCACTTTCTTTTACCAACCTACCCACCCAACACACACACACACACACACCCACACACACACACACACACACACACACACACACACACACACACACACACACGCTCACTTGTAGTTGTGTACACTATTCGTGCGAAGCCATTGACTGCCAGGAACCCTTAATCCGCAATGCAGAGCTCAAGTGCAGTAGCCCTGGCCGCCACTTCTACAATGGAGACCGCTGCACCATCTCCTGCAACTCTGGATACGTCCTGCAAATCCACCAGGATGACGACATCATCAAGAGCCAGGTAAACAAACTACACACACAGGCAGTCAAAGAGTTCAGTGCACAAGGATACATAAATGTACACATGCAAACACTTAAGTGCAAAAGCATTTCTGCAGCATATGGGAGAATGCGTGCAAACATGAATTTGTGAATGCACAGATGAAGATGCATTGATGCACACTCGCTCACCCTCAAGTACACAAGAGGGAAGTGCAAACATGCTTTTCTCCTCTCTGTCTCTGCATTTATTTTGTCACCTGCAAAAACTAGGCTTGGCACGGCAAGCCTCCAGGGAGAATGACATCATGAACATCCAGGTAGATGAGTGCTACACTGAGGAGTGGAGACGCCCCAGTCTCCTCCTCCTGCTGGCTTGCTACACATATACAAATGCGTGCGCACACACACACACACACACACACACACACACACACACACACACACACACACACACACACACACAGCACATTTTCTGTACAAGCACAGACATAATAGTGTTTAGTCTCTTGCTGAGCATACTGCACCATCACCTCAAACAGTCACTTTGTATCGCTACTCCACCGGGACGATGACATCATCGCATAGTGTCTGCTCCCTCTCCCTCCCTCGCTCCATCCCTGCTCATTTCGCACACATTGAAGTCTCTGTTAAAGGGCAGAGATTTGCTACCGCTCTCACACAGCAGCACACATTAACTGCTTCCATGTAGATACCAACACACATACAGCAAAGTACAGGCAATCTCCTGCATAAACAGGACACAGATGCAGACAGCTAACAGTATACACACAGATGCATGCACACCACAAGTACACAAACAAACAAGGTAGTTGACACCACATCGTAAACCTTTTGGATTGGGGCCAAGCTGCTGTAAAGGCCATATAAACGCTTTATCCTTCTCCACGGCTCTGTAAAGCAGTCTGCAAGACAATCTATTAATGCTCCCTCAGAGAGATGGGCAGTTCAAAGAACAAGGTAAATTTTGTTTTTATGTGTATTTCAGTCTGAAACTGTAAAATGTGGAAGTGTTTGTGTGTGAGGGTAAATGGGAGTAATGGACAAAAACATCTACAAAAAGAGGCAGAGAGGAGAGAGTAAAAGAGAGTGGGGAATAATGAGTCTTTTTTGGTATTTGGTCATGATTCTGACCTTAACAATGTGTTATTTCTCCCATCTTTCACATGGCTGTTGCTGGGATCTGTAACTCGTCATAATTGGTGGGTTTTTAGAACTGCAAAGTCGTTTGGCTGTTCCTCTGTCCACTACATGGCTTTCTTCACAGATGCACATGTATATTGTATTTGCACACAGAAAGTATGGGTGTACATGACAGTTTTCACATCTTACATACTGTATGTACAAACACTATCGGAATACTTCTGCATTGAGTCTGCACAGACCTATAATTGCATTAGATTTTGATTGACAGTGCACTATGTGGCTATTCATCAATGTCAGTTAATTTAGTGATAAATTATGCTTTTCAGAGAGGGAGAGGCAGGAAAGTACAGAGAATATGGGGAACAGGAGAGAATAGAAAAAGAAAGTAGGGCTGTGCCAAATATCATTTTTTTAAACTTTGTCACAAATGATGACTGACAGTTCAAAGGTATTTGGAGGACCTGTTATCTATGAATAACTTTTGGCATCCATTCACTTCGCTAAAAGACATCTGGTCTGTTGTTTTTTTGGTTTAATATTAAATTAGCATTTTGCTGTTGTTTTTAACTACTTTGCAGAATTAGATATATTTCTTGTGAAATTAGGATTCATTTCCTAATTGGATACCAAGATATTGAATGTTTTTAGATGTGATAAAATAGTCAAAGTAAAATCTTTATTGTGTCCTGTGACCATAACTGTGCAAAATGGCCCATGCCATGTTTATATATATATATATATATATATATATATATATATATATATATATATATATATATATAATATTTTTTCTATTTTTCTATTGCATGTTTGCACCATTGGCCCGAGAGGACTGAAATTTCATTTGTGCTGTATGTCGTGCATGTATAGTACATCTGACAATAAAGCTGACTTGACTTGATATATATATACATACATACATATATACATATACATTTGCTGTTCCTACATACATTGTCATGGTCATTCAGCAGGAGCGACATAAACCTATGCGCCCCCCTAAGTCCTGAAATATTTTTAAGCTCAGCCATGTAATGTCAGCAAGGACAAATAAATCACTATGCGCAGTTGACATGCCACTGTTAAAAAAAAAATGATGCTGCATACTAGATGTGCAGACTGAATGATGTTTATAATTACCATAACAGAATCCAATCCTCTTTTAACTCACCCTGTCTGCCATAGCACGAGTGCCTTATATTACTAGCTTGTTGATCCATTTCAAGTCCAGTCTTTTATCCTCAAAGAGTGAAACAATTTGCTGGGAAATGATTTCACCAGTTGCGCGTCCCTCCAGGGGCAGTAGAAGTCTCCTCCCAAAAGCCTTTGTAAGTTGGAACGCAGAAACAGTCTCACTGCGAACAAACACATGGGCACCATTCAGTATAAAGTTTGATTTGTTTGTCCGATCACTGTAAATTGTCATTTCTGACATGTGCTTTTCTTTGTTTTGAAAGTAGAATGCATATTTTTGATACAGGTTTCATTGCTAGCTGTGGAATCCAGCGGGGACAGCTGTATGTTGTTTTTTTGAGCAGCGGCACAGCTGCGCAACTGTACGACTACAGGACAGAATCAACAGGACAATAGAGATTTGAAAGAAACACAGGCCGCATCCATTTGAGATCAAATGTACTCTAATAAAGGAAATGTGCTTAATGTCAAGTAGTTACAGTGATTAGTAAAAGGGGCAGTAATAAATCAATTTAACCAGGTTCACAGAGTACATCTGCTCTCATCTTCCCCTCAGATGTGGTGACTGTCGAAAACTGAATAAAAAAGTCAATTTGAAGTTAAACAACAAAAATGTAACAAAATAAAACAGAAAAAACTTGGCCCTTAGATTTTGCTTATCCCCTCAGTGTACATATCTTAATTCATTTATTTCCTTCTTTTTTCAGCCACACAAGTACTTATGAAGACACACACACCTCCACACTAAAAGTGCAGCGTGAAGCACAATCTTGTCTCCTTTCATTAGCCAATTACATTCTTGTTTCATGGATGTCAAAGTGGTTCGGGGAACACCACTTTCTTGGTTAATGTTATCCTCAGAAACAAATCTGTTTCCCTGACTTGCTTGATTTGTATTTATGTGTTTTATCGCTGTCTGTTTTCACTATCTTTCTCTCTCTTTGAAGTGGTTAGGGAACATGGACTGCTGGCATTGAAAAAGCCAGTTTTATTTCAGAGACTTCTCCTATAACAGGCTCTTTATGCTTTACCACTGTCCATCATAGCACATCAAACAAGACCATCAAACCACCATTACCTGCCCACTGTAGGATCACCTATCCACTTTATTTAAACGTCTAATAGATCCCCTACAGGTATCGTCAAATAAATGATTAAAAACACATTTAGAAATAACCCTGACTATAACATGAGCCATTATAATCAAGCTAAATGTAAGGCCTATTAAGAGCCATATCAACCACGGTGTAAAGTTTGGATGTTCTCATGCATGGTGTTTCTGTGGAAAGAGGATATGCATGTAAAGTACTGTATTAGAAGTACTTTTGCCTTTGACCTTCATCAAGGCACTGGGCTGAGAGCTGGATTTGATCCAGAGGTGCTGCGCTGAAGCTAGTAAGGATGGGTCAAATGCAGAGGACGAATATCCCCATGGTTATTAATAAAGTGTAAGTTAAATGCATTTAAAGAACTTATCCCAGGCTAACATCCCTTCAGCTTAGTGTATGTGCAGTAGGCTATGCATTGGTAGCTCCCTAACAAGAATGTTGTGGAGTGTCGTTTTCTGCTTTGGTACTGTTTAAAAGCCTTGGAAACGAACCCAAAAAAACCCCCAGAAGTCAATCAGCTTCTCATTATGAGTTATGGGGTTTTTGGTTTTGGTTATTTTACATGAGAGATGGTGTCACACTTCCATGCACCAATTAGAGTTGTTCTTATGTTGCCAGGGCACTGTCAATCAAATCTAATCAAACCACACCCACACAGTCCCGATGAAGCAGATACGTTTTTGATCTCTGATTTAGTGAAGGCTGTGCATTGTCTCTGCATTGTGGATGCTGAGGTGCCAGGTAATTAGCAAGGTGCCCTCCTAATTGGATGAAGACGTGGACACACATTCCAGTGCCCTCTTCTGTAGTGAAGAGAGGTCAGACTTATAGAGCCCGTCCCTGTACTCCATGCCCCCTAATAGAAAGTGTGTGTTAAGGAGTTGCTCTCTTTTTGGAAAACATTGTAGATGTTCATTAATGCAAACTCTTACTTCTTCCACTAAAAACCAAAGCTCTCACATGGTGGTTTGTAACACAACTTGGTCTGGAGTTGACTCTTTCCAGGCTAACGTGGTTATCATTTAAAAAAAAAAAAGAACCCTCCCAGAATTTTATGTGCTTAGAAGCATGTGTGCTTCTTAGTACTGTTAGATTCTCAGTAACACCCAGCCGTATATTACTGTCTTGATTTTTTTTTTTTTTACCAGAAAGTGTGTCCAGGCAAAAAAAACCTCACTGCTTCTAAGTAAAGCTGATTCCTCTTTCTCCAAAACTGTTTTATAAGGGCTTTTCCATGAGGAATAGACAATGATAAATTATACTTAATTCCACTACTAAGTAATACTATAAAAACTCTGCCGATCTACAAGTATGTGCAACTGTGTGGTATTACTATACTTTCTGTATGTGCTTATGTGTTTGTGTACCATCCGAGCTAAGGTAAACCCCTAAGTTGAAGGAAAAGGCTGTCAGTCTGTCAGTTCATCTGTCTGTTAGTCTGTCTGGCTTGAATTAGGTGGAGTAGCCAAAGGTTGTTAAAAATCGCTTCTGGAAGAGAAAAAGTCAGCTGTACATTTTTAAAAGGAAGGAAAATTCCCCCATATTTACACACACAGAGTACATACACAGACACATAACCCTATATACACTCATACACTTGGGGATACATGCTTGATTAAATGCGAAAACAGCTCATGGCAGATGCACATCAATGTTAAATGTGTTCCTGTGTGTCTTTGTGTGCTTCTGTGTGTTCATGTGCATACACTTGACCACAGTTTTACACACACATGTTTTAGGATGGGCAAAACGTGTAATTTAACACACAGATACACAATTTCACAAACTCACTTAACATTCCGTTTGCACACATATTTACAGTCAGTGCATTAACACCGAATAGATCCTTCCACATTTCTTCCATGCAGACTTTGTTGACAACCTCCCATCATGATTGACTCATTCAAATCTACACCCAGTGATTTTTTAGCAGGAACTCACATGTGATGCATATGTTACTTTGTTGGATATCCAAATATGAAAGGAGCTTATTTATTTTGAGGGAACCTGATACTGTTATGCAGTATAATATAATGGGATCAAGATGAAAGATAGAAATACATGGGAAGAGAGAGAAGGTTATGAAGCAATAGATACGTAATGCTAACTGAGTCCAGCTTGTGTGGCCTTCAAGTTTGGCCACTCTTAAAAAAGATGTGTGTAATTAAAGTTAACCAAAACAGGGGTAGAATGTAACTCATGGTAAAACACAGGTTTCCCTTTTTTTTTGTTCTGAGGAGGAAAGTCAAAATGATTGAGCTCTCACAGCTTTGTTGTGAGATTTCTTGGCACTGCTATCAATTTAAGCATTCTTGTTGCGTTACATGGTGCTATTTAATGGAAGAGGATGAAAACAGTTGAGGTTTGGATGAGGCACTGGCTCCTCATTTTGGTCTCATCTCTGCAAATATCATACCACAAGCCAAATAATTTACAGGAATCAGGCTAATAGGAAATAGACCTAAGATCAGGAAATTCTTCTGGTGAAAAAAAGTTCAGGAGCAAGAGATTGCCATTTTGAAATGTAATGTTTTGGAAACATTCTGCTGTTTCCAGGAACTCATATAGCAGCAAATGCTGGGTCCTTAATGCTATATTCTCTGCACAATCTTCTCATCACTCTTGATCAGGAATGGTTAAACACTGATATGTGTACAGGGTGTATAAACACAAGTTTATACACAGACACACAATTAATGCAAGACATGTGGCTAGTCTGTCAGACCTTGCCAGGTCATAGCTCCTGAATGGCTGCTGTTTCTAATCAAGGGCTATTCTTTATGATAGTTCCATAATGGGAATGGAAAGGATGTTAATCTATTATACTAGGTCTTAAATTGTGCTGTAAGACTTGAGCTTGTCTTTGTTTGTCATAGTAGAGTGGTGTTACCACCGTTGGGTCTGACTCCTGGCCTGAGTCCGTTTCTTGCGGATTTTTCATGTACTCCCCATGTGTGGATTTCCTCTGGGTTCTCCAGTTTCCTCCCACATTCCAACAACATGTAAGGGCCCAATCGCACAGGATACACTCTGTAGGCTTGAAAATGTGAGGCAGCCTGCCTTGACTTTGAGAAACTTGCAATGAAAGAAAAACAGTAAAAGTTGCAAAATTGCATAGTTGACTACTGTTAACCACTAAGCCATGAAGCATTGTTAATGACATTAGCTAGCTTAACAAGAAAAAAATGCACCCATTGCACTAATTTGTCTATAAAGTTAGTGTGTTTCATTTCTTTTTTAGTATCATGATGATTACTCAGAAACCCACACGTTGGTGTTCCAGTTGTGGAAGATTCCACCTCTGTGTATGTGTGTTTCTCAGAAGTTGTCACACTTCCACCAAAGTCAGTCTGTTTTATGTTAGGGCTGATTGTGCAGTTGTTGGATATCAGTTGTCGGAGTGGCATGACTTGACCTTACAAATGCTATCAGCAGTTACTTGAGCTGCTGGGTATAGCCTGGGAGGCTTACTGACATACAGTAAACTAAGCCTGATCGAGCTTTGTTAGGTTACACAATGATTAGAGAATGAGTGCTGAATTGCTGTAGTCATTTTTTGTGAGGTAAACATTTAGAGGATGTCACAAATTAATGCTAGTGTCAACGCGTACCTATGCATATGGCCAACTCCAAAATAGGTCTGTAATCCATTTATCTGTCTCTATCTGACATTCATTCAAGATATCTTGTCTTATTTTCCAGTCGGACTCTTCAGTGACTATAACCTGTGCAAATGGGAAGTGGAATAAACAGGTGTCCTGTGAGCCTGTGGACTGTGGTCTACCAGACAAATATCATGTTCATCCTGCCCATTTCAAATTCCCTGAAGGCACTACCTACGGCAAGAAGAGCACCTTTCAGTGTCGAGAACCTGCCCAGCTCGTAGGTGAGATGCATAGTGGAGCATTCATTCAGTAACTGCACGTTTCATATCCTCTTCTTCAATCTACTCATTTTCATCTGTTTCTTTTTAATTTATCCTCTTGATTTCCTTTTTCAACTTCGCTGACTAACACTGAATTTGCTTCCTTCATCTATTCCTTTCTCCTTTTTTTCCTCAGGTACAAACAACACTCTTACCTGCCTAGAAGACGGCCTGTGGTCCTTCCCAGAGGCTCTTTGTGAGCTACGCTGCCCAGCCCCCCTCCTGTACCCAATGCTGTGCTGCAGACCAAGCGCTGCAATGAGACAGGCCTCAAAGTGGGCACACTCTGCAAGTACAAGTGCAAGCCAGGCTACCATGTCACCAACAAACCTAAGAGGTAAAGAAAGACAAATAAAATACAGCTGTTTGATTATTGTTTCCTATTGCTTTTAAGGCATGAAATCAGCTCCTTTTAAAGGCAGTTTATATGAACATATAAATCTCCACTTTTCCTTTTAGGCGCGCGTTTAAGCGCCAATGCACGGAGGATGGCAGCTGGCTAGAGGGGGCATGTGAGCCAGTGACTTGTGATCCCCCACCTCCCATCTTCCACGGCTCCTATCACTGTACCGACGGCTTCCGCTTTGACAGCGTCTGCAGACTCAACTGCTCTGATCCTGCCGGTAATACTGCTATCGCCACCGCAGGAGGCTCTGCCCATACGGTGAGGCTGCTGCACGCTCCATGCAAGCAGGTCTGTCCATCTCTTTCCTCTCTGTCTATTCTTGCTTTACCTATATGTTTGTCTTCTTTTTGTCATGTGTATAAAGATTAGACATTCTCTCCTTTTCTCCCTTCTTTGCATCCTTACTGTTTGTCACATTTATCAGGTCAGAACACGACATAGAAGTAGTGAAAGATATAATCAAAATTAATACTGTATAATCCATAGGAAGCATTTGTATTTGTTGTATATTTAGCAGATCCTTAACCATGCAGTATTAGTCTACTACAGAGACATTATTGCAAGCATATTCTTATCTAATACCATATAGGTATTACATACTCATGATAGCTAATGATAAGATAAAGAATTAATGAGTAAAAAACATTTTTAACCAAATACACCCACTATCCTCACCGTTTTATCTGATACTACTTACTTCTTACACTGCCCTCACTGTCTGAATGCTTCTCTCTCACTGCCTGTCTCTCTCCCTGTCTCCCTTAGTCCTACTCAATTTGACGCCATGCTAATTAGATTGCTATTGATTTCCAGAATAGTCCTGCTGCCACAGACTTTTGAAATGTATACACCTTTTAATCTGTTCTGCCTCTCAGGCGTTGTGGGTTGGATGCCTGATAAAAATTGGATTGTATTTCCCCCTTTGCAATGGGATGCCATCTCAATGTCCTTGGCCTGCTAGTGTTTGCGTGTCAATGTATATGTGTATGATTGTTTGTTAGTCAATATATGTGTTATTTTCAGGGCGCAGCATCCAATGTGATTCGCTGTAGGAAGGATGGAAACTGGACAGGGTCGTTCCGCCTATGCCCACACAGCAAAGGCCAGTGTTCTTTACCTCAAAACCTCCATTATAGCCTACAGTACTCATGCAAGCGAGGACACGGCATAGGTCTGTATACACAAATTCACTGTTTCATAATAACAATTCAGTTTTCTTACTGCTGATTACTCACAGCTTTTGTTAAGTGTGCCATTATTCTTTATTGTTTGCATTACTCATTCCATTTCAGTTTGTCCTGTTTTTAATCATTTTAATTTGTTCTTCATTATGTGACCTAGTTCACTGAATATCACGGAAATTCATAACTGTTTGAAAGTGAAAGGGGGGAGAGGGGGTAGGATATGTCATTTTGTCTTTGATCTAGGTGTGGTTTGTGCATACTTTACTTTTATTTGGGTTTTCTGTGTCTCTCTTTCTCACACACATCCACACAGGTGAGGAGTGCGAGCTGACGTGCAGAGAGAGTAACAACGATGTTGTGATCCTCCCTAGCAACATGACAGTAGACAATGTACTTAAAGAGCACTGGAGGAACCCGCACAAAGTCAAGGTTAGTTTGTACGTGTTTTTGTGTTCACCTCGCAGCTCTGACAGACGCACTTCACAAAGTTCTGTGATCCACAACTCTGCTGTACGGAATTTCACGCATAGAGTCAACATCCTGGCTCCATTACCCACAATGCAAAATGCCAGCTTGTGCCTATCTTTTGTGCCTGATGCCATGCGAATTGTTTGTTTTAGAAGCATGGCAACCCTTCAAACATTTTAATTCTATTTCTGGTTGGAAGTCTGAAAAGATGCTGCTGCCCTCTTGCATCCCCGTCCTCCATATGACATATGAACAACCTTATTGGAAGAATAAAAAGCTACAAGGCATCTTTGGAAATTAAGTGTTTCCCCTACACTCACAAGCAAGTAATTTTAGCATTCAATTTCCCATGTATTTGTCTTTGAAATAACCCTGAAAGGACAAAAAAATAAATAAAAAAACCTCCTGCCCCATGCTTCCTGCAGAAGCATGGGGCCCCCCCTACCACTGTGGCCAAGTCTTACAACCTTATCTAATGGCTAGTCATCCGTAATTGCAGTAATTTTCTGAAATAAATCTATGACGCTCACTGGTTAATTTAGATATACCTCACAGCGACTGTACTGATTAAGTACTGTTTGCTTAAACTGGCAGATAGCAAAACATGGAGGTTAGAGGTTACGGTGGGGGAGGTCATTACACACAGAACTGTACACCTTGTCCCTGTGGGAGTGTCACTCACACATGAGTGGCACCCCATTCCCCATGGGATTTCTATGAAGCTTGTGGGTGGGGTCCAAAGGCGGGAGTAGGGCTATGGTGTGCATATGAGTGTGTGTATGTGTGTGTGTGTGTGTGTGTGTGTGTGTGTGTGTGTGTGTGTGTGTGTGTGTGTGTGTGTGTGTGTGTGTGTGTGTGTAGTAGGCAAAAAGTACAAGACTACACCTACTCTTCTAATTTTACTCTCCCCATTTCACTTGATTAATGTCAATGATGTGCAATTTGTTTTTAAGTGTTTATGTCAGCTTAATGCCCTTTTAGCTGTGGAGTCAGAGAGAGATCCTACTAAATAGCATCAAGTTTTGTAACTGGAGAAGGAGAAAAGAGAAGCCACGGCCGAGTAAAGGAACACACTGTATTTCTCACTGTATTTTTTTTCCTACAACTGCTTTTGTTTTTGTTTCAGAGTCACACTGAGTCAGCAGCTTTTTGTGGTGGATGTTGGGAGAGAGGGGTGGCTCAGGCCACGTGGACATGAAATGATCTGTTTTTCATGGATTTGTGTTATTGATATGATTTGTGCTCAGTGGTAATTTGAGACCCGAGGCTATGTTGTTGGGGGCAGTGGATAGCATAAAAGAAGTCAGAGAGGTGAGGGTGCTCGGGTGAGGGTTTCAGAGGGGTGAGTGTTTTAGACATGCACCAGGGTAAGGAGGTTGGAGAAGGAAGAGTTTTTGCTGGTAGTGTACCCTTAAATATTTGTCATGTTTTGTCCTCTTTGACCTATCAATTGAGAGATTACAAATAGATTGTTCCTGTCTTGACAAACGTAATGCTAAGGAGAGTCAATTTCATCACATACGCACACATATGCACAAGCACAAGCTTCTCCTTTTCCAATAGTAATCTGAAAGGATTACAAACATCCCAATGATGACAGACATTTCCTTATGGCAAAATCATTCAGTCATTTGTTGGATGTTTAAATTTGCAGTTACACTAATCAAAAGTGTAAGGAATCCTTTATGGTCCATGAATTGGATTCTAGCAGCAGAAAAATAGATGCAACTCAAAATGAAATAAACACCCAATGGCTAAGCAGAACAGACGCATATGGCTGAGATATAAGATGGAAGAAATGCACAGGGCTGTCATAAATGGTATTAAGAAACAAGAACAGGAAGAGGCTTCCGTGGTGGAAAAAGAAATCAATCATTATGGCTAACAGTTGTAGTAACAGTAGGAGTGTAGTAAGTAGGAGTGTACATCATAGCATACTTGTAAACTCCCCCCTAGGATGGGATTCTACATACAGTGTCTAAAAGAGAATTCATGTCCCCAAATCCACTTTCTAATTCTACTTTGCTGAGTTGGAGTGTTGTTTGTTTCCCACCTTAATAAGTGATGTTGATTTATTGCCTTTAAACTAGTTGTATTTTGGTTCTTTGTGTGACCCACTTAGAATTCTCTCCTGCTTCCTTACCTCCACCTCCTCCTCTTCTCTCTCCTGTCCCTCTATCTCTAACAATTCTGCGCCCCCAGCACCCTCCTCCCCCTTTATCAGCAAAATTACCCTGTCGGGCTTGCTGTGGAATTAGTCATTTTCTACATGACATGACCTCGTCTGTGGTGGCGCTGAGATAGGGATCTATTTTTATGTGGTATCAGCGCCCCGGGGAGGCTTCAGAGGGTGAGGATCCTATACGTAGTGAGGGGTGAGGCCAGGCCACGATCATGGATTATCATGATTTACGGCCTTGCTGAGAGAGGAAAAAAAAAGAGTGAGAGAGAAAATGAGAGAGAGGGGAAGAGAAGGAGTTTCTGGATGACATCACCATAGCAGAGCATGGGAAAAAAAAGAATGAAAGTACAGAAGTTGCAAAAAGTTTCACCTCTAAGACAAAAAATGTGCTTAATCTTCCCTCATACAGGGTCTAACCATTACAGCCCTCACACCAACGTACACACACCACAGATGTGCCTGCATTCTGCTACTACATCGCAGTAGTAGAACAGTTACTCCCGCAGCTCTCAGTTGTCCTCAGATGCTATGTTGTTCTTTCTCTCCACCTTCAACCCCCCATCTTTCTTTTTTGCATTGATTTGCTGACAGCACTGAAATGAAAAATACCTTAGTTTGCAGCAACAAAAGAAAAGCACGTCAACTTTGAGGTATTTGGACACAGGGGGTCTGAGAAATAGACTATCTGAGGTCAGCCAGTCCTCTGCAGTGGATGGCACTTTTGATCATGCACACTACTATCTGAGTCTGGAGTCACATGGATGCTGTAAACAAAACCCTTGTCCACCTGCTGGCTCGAGTAGACTTGCGCATACAACTGCCCCTACGCCTAATAGACACACACACACACACACACACATACACACACAGTCACATAGCACAGGCACACATACGCATCCAGTGTCATGTGAATGTATGCATTCACACTTACATTTAGTATATGCCTGCTTGAATGCATTTGCCCATGCAGGTACACGTTCTATGCACAAATGTTTTCTGTTGCATTTCAATGAAAAGCCCAGTGGGAGAACAGGATGGGATTCCAAACATTCTGGAAAGATATTTGAGAGCATGGTGCTCTTTACCTCTCTCTCTCTCTCTCTCTCTCTCTCTCTCTCTCTCTCTCTCTCTCTCTCTCTCTCTCTCTCTCTCTCAATTCTTTGCTCTCCAGGGGCCATCACTTAGTTGTGAAAAAACACATTTTTTTATCAAGTTACATCTTGTCAAAATCAACTTATGCAGCTTTGTTCTAAGGTGGAAAAAGGTCAGTGTAAATCAAAGAAGGATTCACAATGAAATCCTCTGTGTGTAGCGCATGAACCCTTTTGATAACTCCTATGTTTCACTGGTTTAGGTGTGTGTGTTTTTGTCTGGGTACGGCCATAAAGTGCCCAGTGACTTTAGTCTGGATTAGAGTTATGTGGACTGAAATGCAAGTAAAAAGAACACAATCTTGGCAAAGCTGTTCTTGGGAAATAACCCAAGCCATTGAAAGCACCAGTATTTCTCACTTCAACTTTTGTCATATCTTTCAGAGTATAGTCTGTACAATGGGGCTGAAATGGTATCCACACCCAGAATTGCTCCACTGCATCAAAGGATGTGAGGTAAGGACTCGAACCTGATTTTCTATCGTATAAGACTTTAATACTTTAATCCTTCCACCTTCCTTGATCCTAAACCAAACAAAGCAAGAAGAAATCTCATATGATATGTTACCAGATTTGAGTATAGACGGTTGTAGTGTAGTGTAGTTCACACAAAGAAACAACAGTTAGCTTTAATATAAATGAATCTCAGGCCTAATAAACCTCCAAATGTAATTTCATAAAATGCATATTTGCCGTGTTTGGCCCAAGGAGTTGGACAGACAATGGATTGGCACCTAGACTTATCTACAGGCTAGCTGATGTGGGGATGAAGTAGTATTTTAACGCACTGGCAAGTAATCGTCCACACTTACGTTTTTTTCTGATGCCAGTTGCTGAGGACCTGCACAGGGTGCACAGGTGGTTGTTGGCCATTTAATTATTTGCAAGCCAGTTAAAAAATGCTGTTGCTACATGAGTATCTGGTATCAGACTAATTGATGCAGCTCATTGACATACTTACTTACTGTAATCTGATCCAATTACTGATCTATTACCTCTTACAATAATCTTTGTACACGTGAATATGCGGTCACATGCTAAACTTGCCTCTAGAAATGGTGCAGTCACATGTGAACACAACATGTGAAAGAATTCCTCTTCGCTTCAAGAATGATATCATCTACTCAGTTTAGGCCAATTGGATAACCTGATTGGTAACCCAAGTGAAGAGGGTGGGGCCCACCCAATAAATCACCTTATTGGAGTGTTTTGTGCAGTGAATAGTTTATGGTGTCCTCAGTTTGATTTACGGGTCAGGCCCACTAAGGGCTTAAAAAGTCACAGTGAAAGATGAGGGAAATTTAATGTAATCAGATTCATCAGCAAATTTGTCCAAAGCCATCTGAAGGGCCCTGAAATGTTCTAGAGGAAACTACCACTACGACAAAAGGCTTCTTCAGTCATCTTCCTTTTAAAAATGATCATCCGGTTTAAAGGTGGCATTTTCCTCACTCAGTGATTTTGCCTAGTTGACACACTCTCTCTCTGGTACAGCCATTCATGGGAGACAACTACTGTGATGCGGTCAACAACAGAGCCTTCTGTAACTACGACGGAGGAGACTGCTGCCAATCCACTGTCAAGACCAAGAAGGTTAGTGGCTTGCTTGTACTTCACAATAAACCTCACCCTTCAGGCAAAGAGATGATGTTGGATTTGGTTCTTGTCACACTGATCAACAGTCAGTATTTGTTCCCAAACTCTGGAGTCGCACATAGCTTAGGAATAAATCCCATCTCCCACATGTGAGCATTTTTTTCCTTTTCCCTATGCCTAACCCATTAGAACTTCACTTTCTCACTGCCATGCATCCAGTGGAGGATGATGGCAGGATCGGCCATCATCAAGCTTTGACATTTATAAATGATAAATGTTTTTATGTACACTCGGTAAGTTTTAAATTGAACCAGAACGGAATATACTGTTGAAGACTGCTGTATTTTACCTCTTGGAACATCTCTAAACAGATTCTTCCTTTGCCATATGTCCAACCTTAGATTACTGGTATACAGATTACTGATTCCACATCCAAGAGAGTGGGAGTTTTCAGACTCAATAGTCTTTGTTTTTCTGTGGTATTCAGTTTCCTAATGTGTAAAACGTCTATATTTGTCTTTGTATGCCTGTATTCATGTGAAGTCACCCACCACCCAATGGGTAGTCATTTTAAATTTTGTTCTTTCAGAGAGTAAAGGTCAAGACTATAAGGACTTGGAATATAATTTACTTGTACCTCTTCTAATTAATAAAAAAACATATTTTTTTTTATCTGTCAACACTCAGCCGTGTTGTATTTCAGCATTAAGCTGAGCATGATAAAAAGTTTGGTCATCTTTGTTGTAGTAAGTCTCTTAATTCAGGTACTTTGTCTGGCTTATTCCAGCCAACTGCTGGCAAGGGGTCTGATTGAAAGTGTATTTTAGCTTCTGTGCTGCAGCATCTGCTTCTCTGTCCTGGCCTGTTTCTGTGAATCTGGTGAGAGACTTTAGTTGTACTCCTGGCATATCCAACTGTATGTCTGGCTCGATTTATATTGCAGTCTATGTGTCTCACTGGCTGCGTTAGTGTGTTAGACTGGAGAGCCTCTTTTGGGAAAAAAAGACATACAGTAGGTGTACAAGGGACATCTCGCCACCTTCCACTGTACAATTTAAAGTTCACTGTGACTGTTTCCGGTACACCTTCACACAATCCTTAACGCATGTTTTGGATAGTTAGTCATGAGGACTGAAATAATCATGTCTTTCCAGCATTTTTACAGAGAAAGCTTCTTTGATGTATTTGTTCCTTAGTTCACCAAAGCATGGCCTTCGCTAGATGAACAAGGTTTTTAAAAAGTACTGTTGCATCACTTTTAAATGGTCACATCCACATTGTTTTCCTGAGGGTTTAATATCCCCTTCTAGTGTCCTAGAGGAGAGGTTGTATAACACCATACCCCTGCACATTCTTAAAGTCCAACTGAAATTAAATATTTAATTTGACTACCAAAAAGGGATGACTATATGTGATTTCAGTTGGACTTTAATTAAGTATAATCACAAGTGACATTTTGTGCAATGTATTCATTCAGGATTACAAAAGCCCATAGTGTATTTTTAAGTGGCTAGTCTTTTGATAGTAGAGTTGTATATGGACTAGCAAATAAATAATGCAAAACTTCATATTTACTACTTACAAACTTTAAATCTTTAACCTTCTGTGGAATGGCCTCATACTGTTGTAAAGCTTCCAATCACGAAATTGGCACCAAAAAAAACCTGCATTATTCCTGGCCAGTCTGTGTTATATGTAATACACAGAAATGAGACTATATCACTCCTCCGCAAAGCTGCACCCCATTCAATCAATCACCATTTACCATGTGTCTGGTAATTTGACTCATAATTTGCAGTGCAAGTAAATTATGGGCAGATTTGTACAGGATTAAGATCACTGAGGCTTTTGTAGTTAATCACAAATAATTCTGGGTAAATTGGGTTAAAGAGGCCAAACAAATTTGATTGCACTACTTGGCCATAAGATACATAACCAACCTCTGGCTAGAAAGTTCGCTTTTGTCCTTTATTCATAACTTCAGTATCAGATGTAAGGTATTGTATAAGTTCAAAAGCAGCAGGAAAGTCGGTGAGCAGCCCACTGGGAAGTGACCTCACTCCTGAAGTGGTTTTGCTGCTGTTGATTGACGCTATCTCATCTCTACATCTTCTGGCTCCAGTCCAGTGCAGGGGCTCAGCCAGAACTTGCATAACTCACTTTTACTGACAGACCCCAATGGGAGGCTGGACTCCATTGAATTACTGCAGCAACAAGAGGTTGAGCTTGGCGAGGGGAGAGCAGACCATGGGTCTTGTTCATGTTAGGATTTGTCCTTTTGTACATCAAAGGGGAGCATGGTCAGTTTAACTGAACAGTTTATGTTTGGATGTCAAGTAAGAAATCTATGGTTCAAAAGTGAAATTCCTTGATGGGTTTGACACTTTGGTCCACTGCCCAAAAAGGAGTTAGGGCTGATCCAAGACTAAAGACAAATTTCAATGAAAATATATATTTTTTCCTGCTACAGGACACTGTAAATCATCTTGTGTTCTCCTTTGGGAAAAAATCTGATTTTTATATTCTATTTTTTTTTAATTCATGTTGGAAGGCTTTCACTTGTTTCCATACAGCCAATCAAATAGCTTCACTTCTTCGTTTGAATGAACGACCAAACAAACATTCATCACTGAAAATTGTATTGCTAACGTCAGTTTTAAGTTTGAACCTATCGCAATGTCACCCATTGATGGCTGTCGACATGTCGGTTTTTTCTGAGCCAGCGGCGATGATGCACTGCCAGTCCAGCCGATGTTCAGTGTAGTGTCTCCAAAACAAGTCTTACCAGTTTGCCCAAACAATAACTATATGGAGGATCAAATGACCTACCTGGTACTAACCAGCAAAGACAGATTCTATTCCAACTACTGAAACTAAAGAGACTAAAGAACCCCAGGGTGCTTGTCCAGATTCTACTCAAACGCATTGTGCCCTTGCATTGTTTGGGCAAAACAGTCTGGCTGGTGTTTTCCACTTGTGGGTACCCTGGAAAGTATTCCGAAAGATACGAAAAATTGCTCTGAAATAACCAATCATAACTTGATTTATCGTCTGCCAGGAGCACAGGGCGAGGAAGGTTACTGTGGGTGAGAAACAAAAGGAAACATTAAGGAATGAAGCTGATTTCTGAATTTGATATGGGAACAGGGGAAAGCCAGATGTTTGGTATAATCCCTTTTGCTTGTTTGTGAGCACATTGCTTGCTTGCATACAGATGTTGCTTAATAGCTTGACTAATATAAACATTTGTGTGAAAGTCAAATTAACCTGAATGTCAGTTTTAAATTAGCCAGACAACCTTCCTGACAACTTCATTTTGTTACTTTGATATTTTTTCGTCCGCATTTAAATTTCCTCTGTATTTATTATCGTTCTGGTACTTGCGTTTAGTTATGCATTTGGATTTTGTTGTTTATTCCTCTCGGGCAAAGCTTATCCTCACAGTCAACCCTATTTGATCAGCTCAGTCAAAACAGAAACAGGGTATTTTGCACCTGATTCTGATTTTCCCCAAACTGAACACATGCGTGGCAGGCGACTAAAGACGGAGTTGCATAAAAACCTCAAAAAACAAAACAAAATGACACAATATATGACAAAAGGAATCTGTAACTCATTTATGACAGTCTGTCTCCTCTGAGCTGCTGAATAACCCACTTGCTGGGTGACAAAGACAGGCAGTGTTTTCCTCTTTGGCTGGAAATCAATGTTCTTCTCCAGACCACAAGTGAAGACTTTGTCCTAACTTGTTTAATTGTTCCTTAACACATATTTTGTTGTTAGAGATTCTTTTGTCTGTGTCACAGTGGAGGTCATTTAATGTCAATGATGAATTTTCTGTATTTACGAGTTTACAAGTAATTTCCCCCTGGGTTATTAAAGTATTTCTGATTGTGATTTACTGCTGGTCCTGACATTTGTGTTCTTACTGTGTACGTAATAGGTCTACTGCTGGCCCTGGACTAAAGCAAAAATAGATTTATAGAAAGTGCAAATAATAAATTCAGTTATTTGTAGGGTTGGATTGGTTGGATTTCATTGTTATAGCTTAAAAATGTTGGATTTCTAAACAAATTACTCACCTAATTTAGATATAAATATGTTTGACGTCTATTTCTGAGTAGGTAAACCATACCACATGTCTCTTAGGATTTTATCTGCTCTTTCTGGGGAAAAAATACCTGCATCTGCAGTATAGTGTCTTTAAATGATAGCAACAGCAAATTCTAGCAACATTTTACAGACAGGCCTGTGGTAGACTAATGAAAAAGCACATACGCACCAACTCTTTCGCTCTTAGCCCCTCTCATTCACTCTGTCATTCTCATTCAGTCTTTTTCCCACTCATTCACTTTCAGATACTCATTCACAGTCTCTCTCCCTCTCTCTCACTCACATACACATACAGCACATGAACAGACACACCAGCCATCAGCTGCTATGCATACGAGGTCTGGTGACTCAGTGGGAGTCTAGCTCAGTGTTGTTGTCCCCAGTGTGTTGTGACACAGCACATTAGAAGAATGATATGACCCCTTTCATACAACCACACACACGCACACAGACACACCTCCTATTTGTTCCTCTGCCAAAACCTTTTACATCAACTATTTCCCTCTGATCTTTGGTAATGAGGTAAAGGGAGAAAAACAGGACAAAATAAAATTTTACAATAGACTTTCAGTCTACCTCATCATTCCCTAGTCATATATATTTTTGTTCTTTTAAAATTCCAAAGGTCAGAAAAAAACAAAAATCTGCCTCTCTTGTTTATTCTGTGACCTTAAACCAAATGTTCTTATGTTCTTATGTTCTTACGACTGTTATGTCCTCAGTTCACTGATGGGGGAGATAAAACACACTGATGAAAACATCTGCTCATCCCTCCTTAGCAGAAGATGCTTCAGTGACTTCTTTACAGCAGTTGCATGATAGTTTATTATTTTGTTTCCCAACATCAAACGCCATGCCTCTGAAGTCTGAAATTATTCAACAGT